TCTGTCTGTGCATCTTTGAGTGGAATGAGCTCATAACTTTCGTCAGATTTTCAAGGGGGGAAGTGACTCAGAAAAGTTTGAAAACCAGCCATCTAGATCCCATTAGCTCTTCCCTGCACTGTACAGCCTCTGTCTCTCTTCAATCATAATTTCTCCTTACCCAGCACCCTGCCATGGTCCCACTTCTCCTCCAGCCCTGAGTCCACAGAGCCCACAGTCCTCCTCTCTTTGGCAGTCTCAAAGGGGCGATATCGTTGCCCTAACAGACATGAATAGACGTGTGGACACCTTCCCAGCCCCAGAATCCGACCTAGGCCCTACCCAAACTATGCGGCAGAGACATACCTGGTTTACCTTGACTTCATTCGGATTGGTTACTCGGTCCAGGCCGTAGTCCAGCACATTGTCCATTCCAGGCTAAATGGAATAAAAACAACATAAGGATCATTACAGGGAGTCTCTGGTTTCTGGTTAACTGTGGGTCTCAGTTAATCTGCCAATTGTGAGATCCAGCTGAGAAGAACTTGTGGCCTAGCCCACAGGAAGTTCTGAGTGGGTGTAAACCCTCCAGGTGAGCTGTTGAGCTTCATGAGGGCTGTTCTGTCTCCCAATATCCCCAGCACCTAACATAGTGAGATGGAAGGATGGATGGAGAGAAGAATGGGTAGAAGGGTGGGTAGGTGGATGGAAAAATGGACAGGTGGTTGGCATCCCCAGCACCATAGTGGGATGCATGGATGAGTGGATGGATGAACAGGTAAATGGGTGGCAGGTAGATGGTGGATGGGTGGATGAGTAAATGGATGGATGGATGGATGGATGGATGGATGGATGGATGGATGGCCAGACAGATGAATGGCATTCTCAGCACCAGAGTGGGATGGGTGGCAAGAAGGAGGGAAGGAGAGGGGGATGGGTGGATGGATGGATGGATGAATAGGTAAATGGGTGGTAGGTAGATGGTGGGTGGGTAAATAAATGGATGGATGGATGGATGGGTGGATGTACGGATGGATGGACAGACAGATAAATGGCATCCCCAGCACCATAGTGAGATGGATGAATGGAGGGATGGAAGGATGGATGGAGGATGGATGGATGGATGGGTGGATGGACAAACAAATGAATGGCATCCCCAGCACCATAGTGAGATGGATGGATGGAGGGATGGAATGGTGTATGAATGGATGGAGGGAGGGAAGGAGGGATGGATGGATGGATAAATGGGTGGTAGGTGGATGGTGAGTGGACGGGTGAAGAGATGAATGGATGGACAGATGGATGGATGGATGGATGCATAGACAGACAGATGAATGGCAAACTCAGCACCATAATGGGATGGATAGACAGAGGGATGGATGCATGGATGAATGGGTAAATCGGTGGTAGATGGATGGTGAATGGATGAGTGAAGAGATGGATGGATGGATGGATGGATGGATGGATGGATGGATGGATGGGTGGATGGATGTCAAACTCAGCACCATAGTGGGATGGATACATGGAGGGATGAATGGATGAAGGGAGGGAGAGAGAGATGGATGGATGGATGGATGGATGGATGGATGGATGGATGGTTGAATGAGTAGATGGATGGATGAGTGAGTGGACATATGGATGGGTAACATTCAGGCTCCAGAAGAGTTCACTGAGACTAATACATGGGCCTCCTGACTCTTCCCACAGTGCTTCCCCACACTCTGTGGTTTCATCTTGGGCTGGGTGGGAAAAGAGAAGTGACAGAGCAGTGCTTTGGGAGAGTCCAGGCTTGTCAGGCACCTCTGGGTGCCACTCCTGGTTCTGCCACTTCCCAGCTATGCAGAAGAGCTTGGAAAACACTCCTTGTCTCAGCACTCACTAACCTCTCTAAGAAACAGAGAAGAAGCCTCCTACGTGGTAGGTTCTTGTGAAGATTTAACAAGATAGGGTGTGAAGCTCTCAACAGAACGTAGCTATTGCTGAAGAAGGGGTTGTAGTCATTTTAAGATTATGTATGTAAAAGAACGGCCCAAAACTGGGACTACAATCTCTGTTAGCTCCCTTTTCCAGCAGGTAACCCAACTCTCCAGAAAATCTTACTTGATCTCTCTCAACTCCTTGACTCTTTGAGGCCAATAATTTGGGTCTTTCACTTCCCTTGATGCAGGTGTGATGCCAGGCATCCACCCATTGCTCAGCCCACGTGACCAACCAGGTTGGCTACACTGAAGCAGAGAGTTTAGAAGCAACTGGGCTTTCTTGCCATCAGATTCAGCCTCATCCATGGGATCAGACTGGGTTTTAGCTCAGACGTAAGACTTCCAGATAAAATGTAGGAAGTCCAGTTAATTTAAGATAAATGGCAAATAATTTCTGCCCCAATATTTTGATGCTTATTATATGTTTATACTAAATATACAAAATACATTTACGTAAAAATTATTTGTTGTTTATCTGAAATTCAAATTCAATCAAATTTCCTGTATTTTATTTGCTAGCAACCTAGCTCATTAGGCTACCATGGAGGCAAATATATGCAGATAAGACGACACAAGGAAG